ATATATATATATATATATATTAAACTGCAACAACGAATAAAATGTCTATATTAACATATATAGCGCATATAACATTTAATGGGCGTTGACCACCACCTGATCGAACTGTTCATAAAGACGTATGTGCAATGGCGTCTGTGTCTGCTTTATCTTTTCCATGCCGTTGTTTCATACAATGCAACGTATCTGCTCTTTTTTTACTGCAATTAGCAATAAATTATATTCATAAATTAAAATTAGCAGTGCGATTTATTCAGGCATCGATATCAGGTGTACATGAATTCGATCTCTAATCATCTCTTATTTATATACTCACGGTTATATGTATACAACCACATGAAGCCAACTTCAACCGCGACATAATCGTTGTCATGGTTGCAAACTAAACGCTCAGTGTTAGCATTATACTGTACCGGATGTGCAGTGATGAAGCAAAACTTCAGTCACATATGATAGCGTACAGTATAAGCAGTGGGATTCACGATAGATGTCGAAGCAATAGTAATTAAGCACACAACAACAAATCAATGAATAACTGGCTCTTTTTGTAAATGCAAGCACATTATATACTAAAATAGTACTGTTACGCTATATAAGTGATACACAATCCTGTCTATTTCACAACTCACACCATTAAGCAATAACTGACAACGAGCAGTAGCTATAGCATGCACTTTATTTTATGTGCAAGAAGTCAGTGACATACAAGTATTCAAACTTAACAATGTAAAGACGTGCTGTGATTAATTACATTATGTACGACAAACACAATAGACCTCCGAGTCTCCGACGAACCACGAACCGCTCATACAACCAAAACCACACTCTAATTAATAGAGTTGCAGGTACCGACCAATCGACGTACGAACGAAATAGCAGCATTTACAGACCTAGACTGCGTAGAGTGTGATATAACGACTTCAATGATTTATTTTCCTATCTAATGACACTGAGAACATGTGGTCTAACACGTCAATTCATACTTTTGAAAGGAATGAACAAAAAGTCAGACTATAACAATGAGAACGTTAACGTAATAAAGTTATGAGTAACGCGCGTAAGCTCATAATGATTATAGTCTTCAAAGTCCAAGGAGAGAAACAAAGTTGATCAAATAAAAAGAATCTATATTATTAACCAATTAATTCAATTATTAACATACAACTATAGTGGTTAATTAATTTAAATTAATTAAATTATAATCAGTGTAGGAGTTAGCATTTAATTAAAATGCAAATGGTAATTCCTAATGCGACCTCTTTTTCCTTTATATTTAAACACAATTACTGTGAGGAATCAAGTTGCGTGCCATGCATCGTGGCATTTCCACAATTATTCCGTGCATATATAGTCATCGCTGTATTCCGCTAGCTAACGCGGGAATAATTACTTGTTGACTTCCGGCAAACATTTCTAAACGAAGAGATTTAGGTTAGGCGTAGGTCTACTTACATACTATATTCATTATCTTCTGGCCCATAACGTATCGAACCACTTCCAAACACAATCGAGGACAAGAAATTAGTTTACCAACCTACATGATGAAAAACAACAACTCTTATAGATCCAACCGTGCCTGACGCATATTCAGAATATAGTATAATATTTAATTGTCATTTTCAGCTAAAAACAATCATTATACGGAATAATAATCATTATCATAAAGGAACGACTCTCTCTCTTTCTCTCTCTCTGGTTTAGATTGTTGCGCCACGTTCTACACTGAGAACTCGCTTGGAACGCAAACACTTTCTTATAGTAGCGCGCAGTCAGCGTGCCACGGCATATAATAACATTAGGCGTACATGACTGAGAGATTCTCTCATTCGTGTACTCATGGTACTATATCATAGGTAATCAACTGATGAAGTGAAAATAAACGGCTAATCCTATGTCACAAGTATATTCTCATTAATTATACAGCTAACAATTAAGTTGAAGTCTCTCAGCTATGCTCTTGACACTAGGACACCCACCCTTGAACATCGATAAACATAATTACGTAGCATTTCCTGGCAGCTAATGCCGCTAATAATCTCACAACCAAAGTGAAAGAAAAAGAACTGCGTTGTTGTTTTAGACGCATAAACATTACTTATAATGGTACTCACTCAGTAACCATTAGATGCGCATTTATTTTTCAGCAAAATTACAACATTGCATGACATGTGATTTAAACTTTTATATTGGACTCCGTGTAATTTTGACCCGGCTTTAGGATTTATGAATATTCTTTCATTTTATAAATTTGCTTTTCAACATGACGGAAATATAGCTAGACGCAAAAACCTTGTTCTTAAACCATGTATGTAAGTTGAATTCATCTATATAATCATCCATATTATGTGAAACTAACTATGTCACGTGAGGATGACGGGCAATGAGTATAGCATTTAATAGAAGTCAAAATGACTGTAAATGAATATCATTTGTCACTATTCTCAAGGAAATCGTCACTATTGCCAACGTTGTTGTGGCAATCGTTTGGTGATATTCTGATGAAAATCGTTGCCCTGAACACTACCGAACCTAGGTTTTTCAATCGCTGTTCAGATTTTTCTGTTACAGCAAATTTTCGGAAGCAATCATTCTGCTTGTGTGGCGAGCGTGAGCAAATCGTTTTAGAGGAAGACTAGACTTACGCCACACGTCGCTGTCGGCATCAAACGTGACCTCAGCAACATCGACATGTCTTGTGGCAGGCACAGCGAGTCGCTCTAGAGTAAGCGTGCGATTACAGTTAGAAAATAGAGTAGTTACAAACACAGAACGAAACATCATGCACTCCACAAGCAAGGACGGAAACCCATTCTAGTCCAGTAAGATTACACAGACATCTAGTATCAAACGCTTTGGAGAGCTAGAGAATGAATGTTCGTGTTTATATATATCAACCTACAAGAGCTAGTTTGCTGCTAAGTAAACCAGAGACATTTACTCGTTCCGATTCCGATGCTTAATCCTTCTGACGTACATCATGCTGTGATGTACAGTGATAAAATGTTGTTATATTTTTGTAAGCCGTTATTATTCCCTCACATTAAATGAGACATCACACGCTGCGGGCTGTGTTCAATACAGCGGGGCGCTAATGATAGCGAATCGGATATTTATGTTGCTTATAATTGCGCGCGGACAACGATATAGCATCACACCTGAGTAAGCACGCCACGTAACCATAGTAACAACGCAAGCATACCTTTCGGATTCTCCACGACGATTCGATTAGTTGGTGATGCATAGAGTGGTGCCCATGCAGGCGTACGTGCTGGCGGGGACACATAAACGCCATATCAATCGACACTACTATAGTTTCATGTAACATGTGTGCTTGTCAGGGTGCCGTCTATTGCCATAGTAACAGGCAGGTGAAACAGATTGCTTTTACCGCCATGCAATTATGAAAATATACGTAAACACGGCAACGACTCAGGAAAATGATCGCGTGCTCGTTTTTGCTTCCATAGTAACCACATCATGTCAAAATCGAGGTTAAGGTAAGCGCGTGCGTGTGGTTTGCTATGTATGTATGTATGTATGTATGTATGTATGTATGTATGTATGTATGTATGTATGTATGTATGTATGTATGTATGTATGTATGTATGTATG